ATAATGTTCTATTCGGAAAATTTCAAGATTCTACTTCTGTATTTACATATGTACTTACTCAATTACTTGCTTACTGTCAATTTTTACTCTTTACAACGGTTATTTTGGAGCGTATCCAAATGAAAAGGTGGAGGGGCACGTGGGGTGATAGTTTGTGCCACCTACAAATTTTCAGATTTGCAGAGGAAGAAGTTCTTGGTATGGACTACTTCCCATCGTGGAGCATGCCTTTCCTTACTAGAACAGAATCTCACTTTCTTCCAAGAGCTTGAGCTTATTGGCAGTTGAACTTGTGTAAAGTTACCTGTTCACTAAGGGTACCCACCTTCCACTTTCTCCTGTGAAGAGCGCTTTTCCATCCAATCACTAAATGGAACATCTACTGACCTAGCGCTGCATTGTATGAACAAAAAACTAATAAGAACATCGGCTACTGTTCGATTTTTGCGTTCAAAACACCTCCTTTGTTGTTTCAGAGAAAAAACTCAGCAGTGCTAGAGTAAGTCACACAAACAACATTGCCGAAAGGTTAGGAGTTGAACTCAATATAGGAAGTGCTGTGTTTTTTTTTACTTATATTTTTGAATGGTTGTTTTAAATCAAATCGCATACTTATTTATTTGTTTTTTATTGCTATGCGCTCGCTCGTATAAGCGCTACAATAAGAACCAAATGAGGTAAAAATCATAAACACTAAATTGAGACAAAACTGCAATTAAACGGAATCTTGCACACAAGTGGGAAGCTTTCAGACATAACCCATGATTATATCCTGTATATTCTTATTTAAAGGATAAATAAAAAGGATAAAGCATTTGCCGTTGATCAATCCCTTTTTGGGATGCGGCACGCATTCTACTTCCATTTGTACATTCGTAGTGGCGTTTGAATGCGATGTGGCCTATACAATGACTTGCGGGGGCCAGCCGATGTACAAGTCAGTGTTTTTATCCTCCCAGACAAGTCTGGTACCAATTAACCGACCCCGGAGGGATGGAAGGCTTGGTTGGCCCGGGCGACGACCCAGGATTTGATCCCGGACCGCTCGCGTGGTAAGCGTGCCACTTGCCACTACACCACTTCCGCCCTTCTTCTTATTTACTTTGAAAATGGTTGGGAGCTCAAAAAGTTCAATTTCCCACTCAAGAT